AATACAATATATATGTATATATAATTATATGTATATACAAATATGTTAGCTATTATAAGTGGGATTGCTTTCATGATTTCTATCTTAGCAAATTCATTTTGAAAAGCTACTGATTTTGTTTTCTTCTTTGTTGGAGATTTAAATCCAGAGCCTACATTCCCAGCCAAACATTCTACCATTGAGCTACATTCCCAGCCAAACCTACAGATTTTTGTATGTTGATTTTGTATCCTGCTACTTAACTGAACTGTTAGTTCTAATAATTTTTTGGTGAACTCTTTTTAGATTTTTCTGGGATAGTTTGACTTCTTCCTGTATTATTGGAATACCTTTTGTTTCTTTACTTTGCGTAATTACTTTGTCTAAAACTTCCGGTACTATATTGAATAATAGTGGTGAGAGAGTGGACACCCTTGTTTTCATCTTGATCTTAGAGGAAATGTTTTCAGCTTTTCCCCATAAAGTATGATGTTGGCTATGGGTTTGCCATATACAGCTGCCTGTGTGTGTGTGTGTGTGTGTGTGTGTGTGTGAGAGAGAGAGAAAGAGAGAGAGAGAGAGAGAGAGAGAGAGAGAGAGAGAGAGATACTGGGGACTTAACCCAGGGCCTCAAAGATGCCACTCAAGCACTCTACCATTGATCTGCATTCATAGCCCACTATACAATCCTTCCATATCTAATTGTTCAGGTCTTTTAGCATGAAGGGATGTTGAATTTTATCAAATGCTTTCTTGGCTTCTATCAAGGTTTTTATTCTTCATTCTGTTGAAGTGTTGTATTATGTTTATTGATTTGCAATGTTGAACCATCCTTGCGTCTCTGGTATTATGATTTGTATTTTCAATGTTACTCAAAGGATCATGTATTGAAGGCTTGGCTCCCAGTTGACAATGTTGTTGGGAAGTAATAGAAACTTTAATAGATGGAGCCTCGTTCCTTGGAAGAGGTGGGTCATTGAGGGCATGCCTTTGAAGGCTATATTTTGCCCCTGGATACTTCCTCTCTCTTTGCTTCCTGCTAGGATGGAATGAACAGCCTTCTCTGCCACATACTTCCACTGCCATGATATTCTGTGTCTCAGGTCCAAGACAAGGAGCCAGACAAACTTGTACAGAAATCTTTGAAACTGTGAGCCAAAATAAATCTTTTCTCTTTAATTTGATTTTCTTAAGTGTTTTGTCAAAGTGATGGAAAGCTGACTAACTGGAATAAAACAAACTTGGTCATGGTAAATGGTATTTTTGATGTGCTGTTGAATTCTATTTGCTGGTGTTTTATTGAGTTTTTTCATCTGTGTTGCTCAGAAGTATTATTCTGTAATTGTTTGTTTTGTTTTTTGGTTATGTCCTTGTCTGATTTTGGTAATTGGGTAATGCTGTCCCTTAAATAATGAGTTTGGAAGTGTGTTCTCTCTGAATTCCATGGAATAGTTTGAGAAAAATTAGTGTTAGTTTTTCTCTACAGTCTTTGGTAAAATTCATCAGCAAAGTCATCTGGTCCTGCATTGCTTTTCTTTGTTGGGAGACTTTATGTGTGTGACGCTGGGGCTTGAACCCAGTGTCTCATATACACATCAATGTCAGGCAAGCAAGTGTTCTACCACTGAACTACACTCCTAGTCCCCAGACATAACAGTGTTTGTTTTGTAACAATACTATTGTTGGGTATATAAATCAAATCGTCATTATATCCTCTTTTAAAATTGATCCCCTGACCATTATGAAGTGACTTAGCATTTATATTGAAGTTTATTCTGTTAGTTATCAGATATCAATATAGCTATTCTGCCATTTGCTTTGGATATTACCTTTCCATTCTTTTAATCAGTATCTTTACTAGAAATTTGTTTCTTATAGGAAGCATATTTTTTAATCCATTTAGCCAATCTGTATCTTTTGTGTATGTGTGTGTGGTATTGGAGACTGAACCCAAGTCTTAGTACATGCTACACTAATGCTTTATCACTGAGCTGCACCCCCAAGCTCTTAATTTTGAAGCAGAAATGTGAACTTTAAACACTTGTTATGGTAGTTGATGGCTATTAGAATATCTATAAATGCCTTTGTCAGATAAAATATTAGACCTAACAGATGTTTTAGTTAGTTAGGGCCTTAGCTTTTCATCAATGCACCAAAATACATAGCATGAACAACTTAGAGGAGGAAGAGTTTATTTTGGCTCATAGTTTCAGAGGTTCAGCCTGTGTTGGCAGACTCCATTGCTGTGGACCTCAGGTGCGGCAGAACATCATGACAGAAGGGTATGGCAGAGGAAAGCTGTTTGTGGCATCCAGGAAGGAGAGAGAGAGAGCGAGCGAGAGAGAGAGAGAGAGCGAGCGCAGGCAGAGCCAGGGGAACAAGATATAATTCCCAAGAGCATGTCCCACTAATCCACCTCCTTCAGCCATGACACACCTGCCTAGTTAACCATCTAGTTTATCCATTCAAATTACTAATAGATCAAATTAATTAATCTACTAATTAGTTTATAGCTCCCATAATTGAATCATTTAATCTGAACATTCTGGCATTCTCACATGACCTTTTGGGGTGGATACCTCATAACCAAACCATAGCTTTACTTCACTGTAATGAAATACCCAAGAGGATCCACTTATAAGAGGAAACACATATTTCGACTCATAGTTTTATCTGTGGTTCACTTGGTCCTGTTGCTTTTGGGCCTGTGAAGAGGCAGTTAGTCATGGTGAAAGAGCATAATAGAGGAAGCCCTTCACCTCATGGTAGCCCGGAAGCAAAAAGGGAGAAAGGAAGGACTGGAGTCCTGATATCCATTTTAAGAGCATGCCCCAAGAAACCTAACTTCCTCCCAGTAGGGACCCAAGGGCCTTTGGGTAAACATTCAAGATCCAAACTGTAGCACTATCTATGGTGTGTAAAAATTTACACAAAACTTAGTGTGACTTAATGCACAATTAATATCTCCAACTTTCTGTGGGCCAGAATTCTTGGTATAGTTTAGTTGTTTTTTATGCTTAGCGTTTCACAAATCTGCAGTGAAGTGTTAGGCTGCATTCCATGTTGATGCTCAACTATGGGAAAATCTTCTTTGACTCTCATTCCAGTCATTGGTAGAATTTATTTCTTCAGAGCTGAATGAATGAGTCCTTAACTTTTTACTAAGGTAGAGGCCTCCTTCAGGTCCTGGGAATGCCTATAGTTTACTGCTTATATGGCTCTCCACATAGTAGTTCGCTTTTTGAGGCCTGCCAGAGAGCCTCTCACTCCAGTCTGCTCATACAGCTATTATATAATGTAGTATAACTGTTATGGTTTGGATATGAGGTATCTCCCCAAAAGCTCATGTAACAATGCAGGAATGTTCAGAGGTGAAATGATCAGATTATCAAAGCTATCACCTAATCAATGGGTTGATCCACTTGAAGGATTAATAATTTGAATGGATTACTAGGTAATAATTGTAGGCAGGTGAGATATAGCTGGAAGAAGTGGATCACTGGGGCCGGGGTGGTGTCCTGGGAATTTTATTTTGTCCCTAGTGCTTTTCTCTCTTTTCCTACTCCCTCTCTCTTTCTTGGCTTCCATGAACAGAGCCACTTTTCTCTGTTACACCCTTCTGTCATTATGTTCTGCTACTTCTTGGGCCTACAGCAATGGAGTTGGCCCACCAAGGACTGAACCTGTGAACCCAAAATAAACCTTTCCTCCTCTAAGTTGTTCTTGTCAGGTATTTCAGACACAGCAGTGAAAAGGTGACTAACACAATAATTAAGAGTATGATATTTCATCACTTTCCCATATTCCACTAATTAGAAGCAAGTCATAGGTTCTTCCTGCATGCACCAGGATTACATGAAGACATGACTCATTGGGGTCTACCACAAAAACTTTAAGAACTACAGTCTGTAATTTAGCATAGACCATTTTGGTTTCTTCAAAAGCTGGAAACTGAGAGATTAACAATAAAGAAGCTGATGCAACTAAAGTTTTGGTTAAAGTATTTATAATTTTCTGAAGTTTCATAATATCTAAAGTTTTCCACTCTAATAATATGAATATTTGTACCATGATTTATAGATTATACGCACTTGTAAATCTATTATTGCATTTCAAGTAATTCTTAGGATAATCCTGTGAATGGGTAGGTATCTTTGCTTATAGATGAAAAAACTGAGGATTAGATAAAGCCTTCAAAAATGATCACGCCAACCCATAAGTGGTTGAATAGTTGCTTTGTTTTTGTCACCAAAATAGAATTAGGGCATAGTACTGCTGATCTTGTGAATACTCATTAAACATACTTTGGTGATAGGTAAGTTTGATTTTACATGTGAATACTAATACATTTTACATAGGAATAAAATGAAGTCTTTATATTATAATGTAGCAATTTCTAACACCTGGCCACTTAATATCACTAATCCTCGAGATATTCCTGCAAGTGGTATTTCCATTTCACAGAAAAGATAACTGAGGTTTAAGCAGGTTGTCAGTTTCCCAGGGTTAGATAGTTGGTAAGTGGTAAAACCATGGTCTGACCTCAGAATCTAGGATGAACCTTATTGAATCAAAACAGCCATCTGTTTTTTTTTTTTTCCTTGCATCCCTGAGCAATTTCTAAACTTAAAATTTTTAGTTCATGGTCTCTCCCTTTGAAGATGATACTTTCCACATCTCAAAGTCATGTGCTTTTGAATTCTCTCTCTCTCTCTCTCTCTCTCTCTCTCTCTCTCTCTCTCTTTTTGTGGTGCTGGGGATTGAACCCCAGGGATTTGTGCATGTGAGACAAGCACTCTACCAACTGAGCTATATTCCCAGCCCTTGAATTTTTTTATTAAATTTTTTTGTGTATGTGGTGCTGAGATCAATCCCAGGGCCTCATGCCATTTAGCATAAAAACTTCAATGTTACTGTTTTAGTAATGATTGATATGGTTATTTTATATATAGTTTTAATTATAGTTACTAATTTAAGGTTTTTTCCTTTTGGTTTGTCTTCCTCTTTTTTCCCAATCTCAGCAAACCATACAATGGCAATTGAGTAAATTTTGGAAAATGTTTGAAGTTTAGTGGCTGCATCTATTGTCTGTCTTCTTACCTTAAAAAAAAAAAAAGATAAATGACACGTTTGAGAAGAGAGCTATATTAAAAGAGTGTTGCAAATGGCTTCAGAATCTATGAATGGGAAGCAAACTAAGAATCACTTCACTAAGGGGAAAAGGCAGCAGCACCAGCAAATGAAGAATAGATCTTCAATTAGTGATTGTGATGGAGAAGACTCCTTTATCTTTGAAGCAAATGAAGCTTGGAAAGATTTTCATGGTTCTCTCCTTCAATTTTATGAAAATGGAGAACTCTGTGATGTAACACTAAAGGTGAGACTGACTGCCTTTGTTCTTTCTTTACTCAACCTTTTTGTTGCATTCTGAAAAATGAGGGTTTCTATAATTGTACAAGGCAGACTTTTGGTTCTATACTTTATGTTATGAGTAAAATGATTTTAATCTCAGCCATTTTTTTTAATTGAAGTAAAAAGGCCATAAGGGAGTGTAAATGAAGAAAGTTAGCATAAAGATGAAATTATTATTTTAATTTAACATTTATATTCATTATTAGTTAATTTACTTGCTGAGAGTTCTGAAACCTTAGAATAGCAAATAGTTATTGGTGAAATTAATATTTTCCAGGTAAGCTTTTTTTTTTTTTTAAATAGTGCTGGGGATTGAACCAGGGGTACTCCACCACTGAGCTACATCCCCAGTTCCTTTTATTTTCAGACAGGCTGTCACTAAGTTGCTGAGGCTTGCCTTGAACTTGCTATCCTACCTCAACCAACCAAGTCACTGGAATTACAGGCATGTGCCACTGTCCCTGGTTACCAGATGAATTTTTTTTTAATATTTATTTTTTAGTTTTAAGAGGACACAATATCTTTATTTTACATTTTACGTGGTACTGACGATTGAACTCAGTGCCTCAAGGATGCCAGGTGAGCACTCCACCACTGAGCCACAAGGTCAGCCCCACCAGATGAACTTTTAATTTATGAATTTGAACATCTTGATTTTTTTTTTTACTTGATTAAAAGTCAGTTCTTCGGCCATCATTACCCTGTGTACATGTATGATTGCATGAATGGTGTGATTCTGCATTGTGTACAACCAGAGGAATGAGAAGTTGTGCTTCATTTGTATACAATGTGTCAAAATGCATTCTGCTGTCATTTATAACTAATTGGAACAAATTATTTTTTAAAAAGTCAATTCTTGGTTGTTCACTGAGCTGCACTACACTGTATGTTCCTATTCTAATAATTTAACCTCGACTTTACTCTTAACATCTGCTAAGTGAAATTAACTCTTTCTGATAATGAAATAGAGTTTATTTAGACTTTGATGAAGAATCTTGAGTGACTTTTAAGTCTATGTTCTATAGGATCATGTTGTTTTGCTAAATAGTCTTAATAAAATTAGGAAAGTGATAAAGCATTATGTTTGGATTGTTTCCTGTTACACATGTCATAATTTTGTTTTTTCTTTTCAGTGCTGGGAAATCTTACCCAGGGCCTCATGCATGCTAGGCAATTGCTTTACTAGTCGGCTATACCCTTAGTCCCCCCTTCATTACACATTTAAAGTACTTAATTAAGAATCTTATCTCTGTCTGAAATTTATTTTTGCTTTATGATTCATGTATATTCAAGCAGCATTTTCTATGTGAGATTTACCACTTTGAGATCTTTTAGATTTTGCTTTCTGCTCCTGATCACACAAGTTGTTAGAACTCAGAGTGGTATAGTAATTAGTTGACTATAATTTGAATCAGATCAAATTTCAGCAAAAATCCATAAACTGAGAATACAAGCTTTGAGTTTCAGGCTCAGAATATGAAGGAATGTAATGTTACACTGTGGATATAACTGATCTATAGTCTTTTTTCCTTAGGTTCTCAGTGTCCCTAAATATTTCTAGGTTCAAAGATAAAGAGAAGAAAAAAATTAGATAATTCTACTAGTTCTATATAAAATTTAATTATGTATATATTTTAATGGAGGAAAATTCAAACTTTTTATTTTTTATTTTTTTTTAGCTGTCAATGGACCTTTATTTTATTTATTTACATGCAGTGCTGAGAATTGAACCCAGTGCCTCATAATATGCTGGGGAAGCGCTTTACTACCTAGCCATAAGCCCAGCCCCCATTTAAGCTTTTTGATCCACATGATACATTATGTTTATTCTCATGTCATTTTTCTGATTTTCAACTCTAATGTGAAATTCAGTAACCTACACTGGCTTTGGCAAAAATAAAAGAATCAAAATAGATTATTTGAATATAATCAGTTATTAGTTCAACATGTCCGTGATGGCATGGAAACATTTAAATAAAATATTGATTTTTTTAAAAATATCTTTTAAAATTGGGCTTTAGAATAATCTTTTTCTGGTTGTGGGATTGAATTCAGGAGGGCTCTATCATTGAGCTACGTTCCCACCCCTTTTTATTTATTTTGAGACAGAGTCTCACTAAGTTGCCAAGGCTGGTCCTGAATTTGAGATTCTTCTGCCTCAGCCTCTTGAATTATTGGTGTACAGGTGTACACCACTTCACCCAGCTTGGTTTTAGAATAGTCTTACAAATTACTGTACATAAACTTTTAAGTGAAAAATAAGGAATAGCAGTTTAGGGGACAGTTGGGTAGTAGTGTCAGTAATAGGCTAACATGTATACTTCAGGAGAATCTAGTGGAAGACTTGAGTATACTGTATTTGAAGTAGTGACAGAAGTTATTTAGAAATGAGAAATGCTTCACTAGAGATTGACCATCATTTTTATATCCACAGCTGCAAAATGAGAAGTATGATTAGATTTCTGTGAGAAATAAATGAATTAATGTATGTAGAGTATTTACAACAGTTCTTGGCATAGATTTAATAATATCAGTTATTATTATGATCATTTTATATATATAATTAATTATTTCGAGAGTATTAAGTAATTCTGCTGTTGCTCAGTCTGTTCCTATTCATTAGAAAAAAAGAATTACAGTTTAATTATTCAACAGGTCTGTTGTTTAACTTTTTTCTTAATTCTAATGTAAATTATACTGTATTTTCCTTGAGGGAATTAAGCTTGTAACTGACCAGGTAAGAATAAGTATTCTGAAATTCAGAGTGCAGGGAAACAAAATAAAATGGATGAAATTATTAACTCGTAACTCCTGACCCGAAAGCAGGAGTCCTTAATCCATAGGTCATGTAATTTATAAAAATTAGAAATTTATTTCCCACAGTTCTGAAGACTGGAAAGTCCAAGATGAAGCCACATTAGTGTCTAGTGAGGTCTGTTCTCTGCTTCCAAGATGACGTCTTGCTGCTGCACCTCTTATGGGGATGAAAGCTCTGTCCTCACATAGTGGAAGGCAGAAGGGTGGAAAGGGCCTAACTTAGTTTCCTCTAGCCCCTTTGTTGACACTGATCCATTCTTGACTGCAGAGCCCTTATCATCTTATCACTTTCCCAAAGGTCCCACCTCTTAATAATACCACAATGGGGATTATTAAGTTTTAATACATGAATACTGGGGATCTTTCAGACCTCAGCACAGATACAATCTAATAAAATAGAAATAATAATGTAATGTAAAGTGATCCTGTTTTTAACATTTAAGCATTAACTGTTAAGAAGTCCTTAAAAATGTTAAGTTTTTAATGTTCTGTGTTAATTGATAATCACCTTTACTTTTGTCCATTCATTTATTAAATAAGTATTTTTAACTTTTCATTTTTCTCAAAAGGGGATATTTAAATATTTCTAGGTCCTTATTTATTTGACATTCAAATGCTACCTAAATTGCTGTCTTTATTATGCAGGTTGAGTGTATTTAAATATTAATATTCCTAGATCCTTGTTTATTTGATCTCCCAAATGCTATCTAAGCGCATTTCCATTATGTAAATGTAGGTTTATGACCACCTGACCACCCCGTACTGGGAGTTGAACAGCTCTGCCACTGAGCTATATTCATTGCCCTTTTTATTTGGGAAACAGGGTCTTGCAAGGTTGTTCAGGCTGGCCTCAAATTTGTGATCATCCTGCCTCAGCCTCCCAATCCCAGGATTATAGGCATGCACATATTTCCAGGGGTTAAAGGCATGCACAGTGTGCCATCATGCCAGGACCATTATGTAGGTTTTAAAACATAAGGAAGGCTGGGCACAGTGGTGCACACCCTGTGATCCCAGCAACTAGGGCGGCAGAGGCAAGAGGATCACAAGTTCAAAGCCAGCCTTAGCAATTTAGGGAGTGAAGGGAAAGGGAGGAACAAGAAATGAAAGACTGAAAGACGCAGAGAGCAGAGAGTTTATTTGTCAGAGCTGAGAAATAAAGGCCATTTCTCTATAGGATTTCTGGGACTTTTATGGGGGAGGCTCAGGAATCAGAACCAGGTAGGTCCTAATGCTAGTGGCTAAGGGTGGGGTGATATGAGGGAGTGGTGAGCCTTTCTCAGAAATGCCCTTGAGCAGGAAAGGGAAACTTTTTCCTTAAAATGGTGACCGGCACTTAAGAAGGCCATCCAGATGCTAAGCAGGGACCTTGTAGGGAGGTGATAAGCAACTCAGTGAGACCCTTTCTCTGGGGATGTGTAAGGATGGTCTCAGGCCTTAGCCTAAGCAACTCCATTTTAAAAATTCCACTTTGAAACCTGCAGTCTCACCAGGCACACCTACGGAACCCTCCAGTATGACCCTCAGCCACAAATAAGTCACTTCTTCCCAGCCTGACAAACTCAGAGTGAAATCTCTGGCATGTTGCCATGTTGCCCAGATAAGAGCGAGAAGGAAGAATCAGGGTGGGGACCACCAGACCAGATGCTTTAACTTCAAGACAGTGACATCACTGAGAAATCTGGTAGCACTGATAGGGATTGAAGCTCCCCAAATTTAGTATAAATGATGGAGCAAATGAACAGACATGCAGCTAGCCGACACTGCACACATAAGCCTGAGAGCCTGATGAAACCTAAATTGATATCCTAACTCTTCTCATCTGTCTGATCCTCGTTGTTCTCACTGCTCTCAAACTCTATAGCAGCCTCTTGACTTTGGTGGAAAAAGGATTTCTCCCTATGACCACCTCCTCTGCCAATGGTCAGCTCCACCCCAGGAGAAACCTGCCTTGGCTTCTGATCTGATCACCAGTCTGAGCAAGTGTGCATCTGCTGGACTTAAAGCCTAAGGCTTGAGACTTTTGATCTGACACTTGAGCTTAGCATGCAGAGGGAATGTCTGTCATGAGCCTGTCATGTGTTTGCAGTGCTTAGAATTAATCTAGAATTTTTTTTTGCTGTGAATTGATTATGTCTATTGCAGTGCCTAGAATTAAAGATTGTCGTTTTCTTGATTAAGAACCTATAGGGTGAAATTGTATTGAGTGACTTGTGTGAATAAAGCATTGAAAAGAGCAGAAGTGTGTGGAGATTCTTTATTTCTTCCACTTGACAGCATAAGTTGAGACAGGATGTGGCTCAGTGGTCAAGTGACCCTGGGGTCAGTTGACGGTAACCCCCCCCCCCCAAAAAAAAAAAAAAAAACCCACAACCAACCAAAAAAGACAAAAACATAAAGAAGTGAATGCAATATAAGATTAGTCAAGATGTAGTATATGTTAGTTATAGAGCTAGTTGTTATAGAAGCTAGATGTTGTGATGTAATACAAGTTAAGACCTTGAGTCTGGTACCATTATTTAACCCCTTCTCTTTTAGGCCTTGGCATTTAAACACATTTGGCCAATTGGTGTACTATTGGAAAAAGTAGTTATAGAGCAAAATTACTAGGGATTAAATTGAAAGATTAGAATATAGTTTAGTTTATAATGGTATACAGAAGGTTTGGATATAGAGGGTTTTTAAATTTTATTTTTAGTATTTATTTCTGTTCTACTTTGTCTGGCATGGTAGAACATACCTGTAATCCCAGCAACTCAGGAGACTGAGGCAGGAGGATCGAAAGGTAGAGGTCTCAGCAATTTAGCGAGGCCCCAAGAAATTTAGCAAGACCATGTCTCAAAAATAAAAAAATAAAAAGGGTTGGGGATGTGGCTTAGTGGTAAAGTGCCCTTGGGTTAAATTTCTGGTACCAAAAGGACACTGTCATTTCAATGTAGTTCCTGTAATACAGGTGACTTCAGTGGCTGTTAGATAGCATAATATAAACATTTTAGCATAATATACCTTTGTTTTTGTTTTTTCAATGATTTAAACGTTTTAGTGTGTTTGTGTATGATTTTAACAATCTTAATGTAATTATAAAACTGATACCTAGAAATGAAGTGAACTATGTGAGAATAACCACAACACAAAAGAGTAGTTCACAGTGACATTTTTGAAAAGTATTGAATAGCTGAGAAATAAAATTAAATAAAAAATATTCACTTTCAACATTGAATTTTTAAAACATGTTTTTATTGCTTTTCAAATTTTCATGGGGTTTTCCCAATATTGCTGCTGAATGTGTAAATTGGTCCAGTATTTTTGTCAGAGCAGTTTAGCAGCATATATCAAGCTACAAAACACTAATTTCTTTGATTCATAAATTTTGATTTTCATATCTTATCCCAAGGAAATATTCTGATATACCCCCCCCCCAAAAAAAAACTTTCTAAGATAACGTTTGTGTTTAAAATGTGGGAAAAATTAAACGTGGTGGTTAAAATGGTTAGTGTTGTCCACATGACCAATAATGTTATGTCCACTGAATAGAAAAAATACACCAATAAACAGGAGGGTTACAAAAGGTATTAGACACTTAGGAAAAGATTACACATTTCAGGAAAATCTCAGTTACATTTCAAAATGTGTAGAAAAAGTTGGATATAAATACACCAACTGATTGACAGTTTCCCTTGAGTTTTTTTGTGCTTTCTTGATTTCACACATTAAACATGTATTTGAGTCAGGAAGAGAAATAAATGACATTTACTGTAGGCCAATAGGTAGGTTCATATTGTAAGTCAGAACAATGTTAATGGAATTTTTAATGTTCTTTTATGTCCTTTTTAGTTCGCTTTATATTTGAGCAGATCAATTATCTTGATCAGAGTTCTGCTTAGTTTGTCATGTTATTTTTCTGGTTGGACCTAAATGTGAATCAGCACTAAAAATGAAGGATGCCTAATTTCCCCCTTTCTCTGCATCTCCATGGTGAAAGCAGGATGCTTTAATAATCTAAAGGTCTTTGTTTTATTATGAAAAATTACTCAGGATTTTGATTTATTATGTTTCAAGTTTTTTTTTAAAAAAAATAAGGAATCATGTTATTAATGTTGATATTCGACATTTTATTACTTAAATTTTAAGCTACCTTGAATTATTCATATTTCACTGATCCAAGAAAAAAGAATTGTAAGTTAGGAAATTCACTCATATTGAGGACACATACAGGTATAGTATTATAATTTAAAATTATACAGTAATTTGTAGTATTTTATAGCTTCTTATTCATCTAGTTTTAAACACCAGGTTTGTATATTTTTCATCTTTAGATTTTGATTTATTTCTAATAAATACTATTTATTTCTAATAAATATTTCACAATAAATACTACTAATTCAGCCATGTGCACGCCTGTAACTTTAGCAGCTTGGGAGGCTGAGGCAAGAGGATTTGAAGATCAAAGCCAGCCTGAGCAAAAGTGAGGTGTTAAGCAACTCAGTAAGACCCTGTCTCTAAATAAAATACAAAATAGGGCTGCAGATGTTGCTCAGTGGTTGAGTGCCCCTGAGTTCAATCCGTGGTAGCAAAAAACAAAAAACATACATCCTTAGATGTACATATTTCATATGTATAGCTCACATTTTTTTTTTAAGGTAAAGTGGATATTTATTACAAAAGCATACATTAAGATGTACGGGGGGAAAGCCACATTTTTGTTTATTTAAAGCAAGAGATTAAAATAGAGTTGTAAAGGGACAGGGTCTTACTAAAATTAGTATGAAAATAACTTGACCATTGACTTATACAGGTAAGGTGGGAAGTGTTTAATGGTAGAATCTTATTTTATAGTACTATCATGTAATCAGGTGTTGGCAAGTCATTTAGTTAAGTATGTCATATTACAAAAACTTATTCTATGAATCTGAATCTCAGTGGTGGCATATTCAGATAATTTTTAAAAGGATATTTTAGACTATTTTTTTAAATATCAGATTTCAGATTCCATTTTAGGGCTGAGTTTAATTTGAAAGCATGCTAAACTTTATGTAGTAGCCTGTGTTGTAACTTGAGTCCCAAATCTAAATTGTGCCTGATGAATTCTGTTTAAAAATTAAATATGGTATAACAGACAGAAATGATCATCTTGTATTTGTTAAAATAAGTGATATTTGTTCTGTTTTCATATTAGTGAAAAAAAGATTGGGCAAGGAACATTTATAAGCAAAACTGTTCATTACAATGCTCCTGTAGCCTCTTTACTTAAAAGGTCTTATTTTAGTATTAACTTTCAAAAAATGAGACAAAACTATAAGTTTATGATATAATAACCAACACAAAAAAAGAAAATTGCTTTTGTTATTACATTTTCTTCATTGGTTATTTATTATAATGTGCCAGGATATTATAACTTAATATATTTTTTCAGTTGTAGTTGGACACAATACCTTTATTTTATTTATTTATTTTTATGTGGTGCTGAGGATTGAACCTAGCGCCTCACAAATGCTAGGTGAGCATTGCTGAGCCATAACCCCAGTCCCCACAGTATACATTTTTATACAATCTGTAAAAGGAAAAAATTTGAAATATATTTGACAAATGCCTAATATTCTAAATGTATGAGTTCTTACAAATAAGAAAAAAAATTCATAGTTCATAGAATACAAATAGCCTCAAATTTATTGATAATTTAATCTTATAAAAAGAGATGAGTAATATTTTCAGTAATCAGATTAGCAACAATTTCTTAACAATACCCAGAATATAGAACAAATATTTTAAGTAGCTCAGAAATGTACAATTTAGTGGTGTGTATCCACATTATACCTATCCTTTGAAGCAGTATTTCTCTTTATAGGAGTTTTTGTGGGAAATAAAGAGAATGTGAACTAAAGATTCAGTTACAAGTGTAATGACACACTATTGGAAGCAATCTTTAATATTTTTAAGAAGGTACTAAGATTTCAATATTTTATCTTTACTGCTTTTATATGAAATACATCATATCAAAATAATTTAAATAGAAAATGAGCTCAGTTGAGCTCATAATAAATACTACTTTAATATGCTTTATTTACTGTGTGGTTCAGTTTTCTGATTAATAAGTTGTGGACAATAATTGTACCTTCTCATCTTGGTGTTGGGACGATTAAGTGAGTTAATATGTGAAAAGCACTTTAAAAATGCTTGGTATAAGTGACAAATGATGTTTTTTGTCAAAATGTTCTTAAAAGATGAGATAATATAGGGGCTGGGGCTATAGCTCAGTTGGTAGAGTGCTTGCCTTGCATGCACAAGCCCTGGGTTCAATCCCTAGCACCACAAAAGAGAAAAAAAAAAATCAGTTTGTTGTAGATACAATTTAAGTGGGTAATTTGGGAGGTGAAAATTGCCTGGCTTTAAGAAATTGGCCTCAAATGAATGTAAGTGACCAGAGAATTACATTATTAATATAATAATCCAAATTGTCTGGAGATTTTGTACTATAATACATGCTCTGTGCTTATCTGAAGCTAATTTTGATTAATTTTTTTTTATTTGTTTTGAACAGGTTGGCTCAAAGCTCATCTCTTGTCACAAGCTGGTATTGGCTTGTGTTATTCCCTATTTCAGAGCCATGTTTCTCTCTGAAATGGCTGAAGCCAAACAAACTCTGATTGAGATTAGAGATTTTGATGGTGATGCAATAGAAGACTTGGTAAAGTTTGTCTATTCTTCACGGATCACTTTGACTGTTGACAATGTCCAGCCTCTCTTATATGCAGCATGTATTCTTCAGGTGGAACTGGTGGCTAGAGCTTGTTGTGAATACATGAAATTACATTTTCATCCCTCCAATTGCCTGGCAGTAAGAGCCTTTGCTGAAAGTCACAATCGAATAGACTTAATGGATATGGCAGATCAGTATGCCTGTGAACATTTTACTGAAGTTGTGGAGTGTGAAGACTTTGTAAGTGTGTCACCCCAGCACCTCCATAAGCTTTTGTCCTCCAGCGATTTAAATATTGAGAATGAAAAGCAGGTTTATAGTGCTGCCATCAAGTGGCTTCTTGCCAATCCTCAGCATCATTCTAAATGGTTGGATGAAACACTGGCACAGGTAGGGCTGATTGTGTATGTAAATGAAGTACTATGGAAGCAGATCAACAGGTTTTATTCATTATGAAAATATACTTTATTTGAGGGAATACAGAAACCACTGATGTAATACAATGATGAAAATAGCTTAAATTCTCGTTTGTTTTTTTTTAAGAGAGAGAGAGAATTTAATATTTATTTTTTTTAGTTTTCGGCGGACACAACATCTTTATTTGTATGTGGTGCTGAGGATCGAACCCTGCGCTGCACGCATGCCAGGCGAGCGCGCTACGGCTTGAGCCACATCCGCAGCCCAATTCTCTTGTTTTTTAATGTTTTAATTGTAGATGGACACAATATCTTTACTTTTATTTATTTATTTTTTTATGTGGTGCTGAGGATTGAACCCAGTACCTCATGCTTGAGAGGCAAGCACTCCACCACTGAGGTACAACCCCAGCCCAGACTCTCTTGTTTTCAGTTCATTTCCTATACTGTTTTAGGATAAGTCTGTCACATTTGAATGATTTGTAATCTGAATATTTAAAATAGTCTTTCAAGATCACAGTAATGAATATGTTTATGTTAATAGAAAATGATTCTGAGGAAATAGCTCTAAAGTAATATCATTTATAACCTATTATAATGCAAAAATTTTAATGATTTATTTTACTGATGAAAATACAGTTATTCCTAATGCATATTTATTCTGGAAAAAAACATCATACATCACTTTCCATTTTCTTTCCTTACCACAGTTTTGAGACTTTTTTCCACCACAGAAATGTGTCTGTTGTTATTGTTATTTAAAAAACTGTCAACAGGGGTTATTCAAATAGGGAACTAATATATAGGCCCTTCGGTATCTGTGTCTTTTCCTTTATTTTCTCTCTCTGTGTCCCCTTCCCTCTGCTTCCTATTCTTTCTCCCTCCTCTTTTTCCTTTCTTTCAGTCCTCCTTTCATTTATTCCTAAGAAGTAAAATGATATTGCTTTTAAAAGAGGAATAGTTTTATTTACTTTTTTCAAAGTTAGATGCTTTATTAAAATTTTGTGCCAGATTAAAATATTAGATTATCTGTGATAATTATGCCACTTTTTACTAAAAAATTCTTACTAGTATTATCAAAAATTTTAACAGGCGGAGTGCTGGTGGCGCACGCCTGTAATCCCAGTGGCTCTGAAGGCTGAGGCAGGAGGATCTGAAGTTCAAAGCCAGTCTCAGAAAAAGTGAGATGCTAAGCAACTCAGTGAGAACCTGTCTCTAAATAAAATACAAAATAGGGCTGGGGATGTGGCTCGGCGCCCCTGAGTAAATCCCCAGTCTCATCTCCCCCCCAAAATTTTAACAGATATTAAGAACAAAATTGCTTATAATTACCAGTGTTTAAATATTTATAGGAAGAGAAGTAAACCTTTCAAAGTGTGATTATAATTAGATTGATTTTTTTTTGTTTTTTAAGCATTTAAGGCAGTATTGTTTTTTTGGTTTTTGTTTTTGTGGTTTTGGGGATTGAACCCAAGGCCTTGCACACGCTATGCAATCACTGTACCACTGAGCACACCATCAGCCCCTATATAAGTTTTAAAAAGAGAACATATTTTAAAGAAAGTAGAGAAAAGGTTATTCTATTACTATTAAATTTTATATTGCAACTATTCATAATCTTAGGTTCGTCTGCCATTATTACCAATTGATTTTCTTATGGGTGTTGTGGCGAAAGAGCAGATTGTCAAGCAGAATCTAAAATGTAGAGATTTATTGGATGAAGCAAGAAACTACCACCTTCATTTGAGTAGCAGAGCAGTACCTGACTTTGAATACTCAGTTCGGACTACCCCAAGGAAGCATACTGCTGGTAATTAAGTTCCTTATTTTATCATGTTTCCTGGAAAAATCCTTGATGTATTTGAGCATTATTTATGTGTGCTCAAAATTAACTATAAGATAATTAGTATCTGATTGCCTTAAAGTAATAATTGGCAAATACGTTTATATATATATATATATATATATATATTTTTTTTTTTTTTTTCATAATTCTTACGGTACATGATTTACTTTTACCAATAAGCCATTAAAAAAAGTCATAACAAGTCTTATACATACTGAAGATCTACTAAAATATCTCTGTTTTTGAAGTCTTCCCTTATTGTTCTAGGCAGAATTTGCTACTTTACTAGGCCTTTAGAGCACTTTGAACTTGTTTTTTTATGTTGCATTGTAATCTATTTATTTGACATGTTTAGAATTCTTCAAAGATGGGTATCTTATTTAAGTTTGTATCGTATTTCAATATTTGTTTTTGCATTCTATCAAAAGAAAGGCACTAAACGTCTGACATTTGTATAATGGACCATATTAAAATCTAAAGCTCTTACATTTTAGGAGGCATATAACTTTACCTTTATTTGCCACAACTTTTAGACTTTAAATTTTCCCAAGAAAATAATTCATGTTTCCTTATATTTTTTATTTTATAAAAAGGAGCTTGTTTGAGAGATGAGAGAATGTAAGTGAGGTCCACTGTGTTAGCTTTTTGTCACTATGACCAAATACCAAAGAATAACAACTTAAAAGGAGGAAATATTTATCTTGGCTTATGGTTTCAGGTTTCAGTCCATGGTTGGCCAGCTCTATTGTTTTGGGGAAGAAAGCCTCTCACCTTATTGAAGTGAGAGGGGTAGAAAAACAAGTTCACAAGGGCCCTCCCACAAGAACACAGTCCCTCCAACTAGGTTTCACTTTCTACAGTTTTCACCGCCTCCCAGTAGTCCAGCTATGAATACCTCAATGTATTAATCTACTGAGCCTGAGCCTTCATTATCCAATCACTTCCCAAGATCTCCACCTCTGAACATTGCTGTTCTAGGGACTAAGCTTTCAGCACATGAGCAGTTGGGGGACATATTTCAAATCCAAGCTATAAATTTAATGATTCAGGAAGATCCCGGAATAGAGATTTTCACTGTATTTGCTGCTACCTAATATAGAATTATCAAATAGTGAGATCTTATGAGACGACCTAACTAACAACAGCAAAAGGCAATATTTGATTATGAATTTATCTAGGTAGTATATAGAACGGTTGAAAGTCATATACCTGCCCCATTTTAAATAATTAGTTTAGGAGCTGGGGCTGTAGCTCAGTGGTAAAGTGCTTGCCTCTCATACTTGAGGCATTGAGTTTGATTCTCAGCACCACATAAAAATAAAGGCATTGTGTTGTGTCCATCTACACCTAAAAAATAAATAAATATTTAAAAAAAATCAGTAAAGATACTGTGTGTTCATTTACAACTAAAAATATATATATATTTAAAAAATTTTAAAAATAATTAGTTTAATATGAAAAGGATTGTTATTTATTCTCCTTTTTAATATATTAATGGAGAGAATTAATTTTCAGAGTTTTACTTTCAATCCTATTTCATAAATTCAAGTTGATAAAATTCTTATCCAGTTTTTTTTCTTTGGATGGGGATGCTGCTGGGAATCTAACCCAGGGCCTTGTACATGCTAGGCAAGTACTATTCAAATCTAGGTTTGAATTCAACATCACATATGTGATCTCACATGATTGCACAAACTTTATGTCATAGATTTTAGTGAAGGATTCAGTCTTTAGTATGAGATAGATGGTATTATTTCATTTTATGGATAAGACTAAGAATTAGGTTAAAAATATGCTAAGACCACACAAAAATAGATATTTTTACTTCTATTTTAGTTTTTCCCCCCTTTCATGTCATGTTCTCAGGTGACTTGTATAGCTAAAATACTAGTTTCTACTTCAAGAAAATATAAAACAAAGATTATAATTACATTCTGGGTTTATAATCCCAGGTATCATTAAACATTTGTAATCTGGGGCAAACTTGTTAATCTTTCAAGGCTTCAGTTTTATTTATAAACAATTTGACTCCATGATCTTTAAAGTCTCTTCTAACTTTAAATTTCTCTGACTTTAAAGTATTATATTGGGGCTGGGGGTCTTGCTCAGTGTTTAGAGCATTTGCCTTGAATGTACAAAGCCTTGAGTTCAATCCCCAGCACTGCAAAATGATTACAATTCTGTAAACTGTTGCATCAATTGGAAAAGATAGCACAAGCTGTTCTAGTCATTCATTTATGTAATCATTAAGCAAACATTGACTGTCTATCATGTGGCAGGTTGTGCTTAGGCTTTAGAAGTACAAATAGAATATAAGCAGTTCATTTCTGGGGAAACCTGTGGTCTGGTCTAGGGAAAAAACATTTGAATAAACAAATTCAATAAAGTATTACAAGTACTTTGATATTATCACAAAGTATAGTGAGACACATAAAGAATGGTTATTTTTACCTTGGAAAGGTCAGAAAAGGCTTTAAAGAGAAAGTAAATATCACTCCTGGTTTTGAATAATAAATAGATAGTCTTCTGGGTGCCAGTTAAGGAAAAGATGTTCAATTCATTTATATTTACAGAATGCCTGGTCTATACCTCACATTGTGCTAGTCCCTGTTAGTGCATAAATGCTTAGTTACAGGGGCACCATAATCCCAGTGAGTTGGGAGGCTGAGGCTGAGGCATGAGGATCACAAGTTCAAGGCCAGCCTCAGCAACTTAGTAAGATCCTGTATCAAAATAAAAAGGGTAAGGATATATTTCAGTGGTAGAGCACCTCTGTGTTTAATCCCCAATACCACAGTGGTGGTGGGGGGGATGCTTAATGTACTCCTTTAACCTATCTTAAGACTAGTGGCATAATAGATTATTTTAAATTATTGTATGCTAAGTAATGATAGTATAAATATGTTGCAGGAACATGAAGTATTTAAAAAAAAGGAAGAGAAAGGGTTGATCCTGGGGGGCCTTCATGCTGAGCCAAGGTTTTACCCTATAAGGCAGTTAGTGCTTCTCAAAGTGTGAAAGAAGTGGTCACTGTGCAGCAGCAACATTAGCAGTCAGTTAGGAACTTGTTAAAAATATAAACTCTTGAACCCACCTCAAGGCTACTGAATCAGAAACTCTGGGGGGTGGTCAAGCCTAGCCATCTTTTTTTAAGTTCGTTAGATGATTGTGATTCATACTAAATTTGTGTTGTTGTTTTTTTAATTGTGAAGGTATATAGCATATATTTGTCATTTTAACCATCATTAAGTGTACAATTCAGTGGCATTTATTGAAGTTTTATGGAGATAATGGGAAGTTGTTGAAAGAATCTTTTATTTAGATTATTCTGCTGACAATCTGAAAGCAAAATGGCTTTTAAGTAGTAAGAGAGGACAGAATTTCATTATTCTCTAATTGGGTAGTATTTGATGAGGGCCTGAAGTAAGACGGTGGCAGAAGGAATAGAGAGAGAGGAGTAGGACATTCCAATCAAGGAAGAAGTTGTTAAGGTAGACAAAAAGGGGAGAGACTTTTGAACACACTGGGTTTTGAAGTTCTTGTAGAACAATAACCAGAAATGTGGCTTAGAAATGTGGATTGGGCTGAGCACGGTGGCACACGCCTGTAATCCCAGTGACTCTGGAGGCCAAGGCAGGAGGATTATTAAACTCAAAGCCAGCCTCAGCAATTTAGTAAGGCCTAAGTAATTTAGCAAGACCCTGTCTTAAAATAAAAGTAAACAATTTTAAAGAAGAACTAGGGATGTATTGCTCAGTGGTAAAGCACCCCTGGTCTCAGTCCACGATACTGAAAAAAGAAAAAATGAAATGTGGACTGGAAGTTATTAGGATACAGTTGGAAGTTAAAGGGATGAACTTTTCCTGTGTGAACATAAAGTATGTGAGAAATGGGCCAAGATGGATCCTGGAAAATAGAAGGAAAGAAAAGTTAGGAGACAAAAAGAGACTTTGGTATTACAGATATCAAGAAAGCAAATAATTTAAAAAATAGGATGATTAGTGTATCAAATGTTGCATTTGTGCCCATTAAGAAGAAATTAACTTAGGAGTTGGTTGATTTTGTTATGACCTTAGAAAGAAGTTTTACAGAGTGGATGAGGGTATAAACCATACTGTAATAGGATGTTAGTAAGCAGAAATAGCTAATGTTCCTATTTTTTCAGAAGTTCAAATGAGGGAGGACAATTAGATTTGATTTCTAGTAACATTACATTGAATATTATCCAAATAATTCATCTTTTTTTTTAACCAGTCTTCAACATTTGGACTTTTTAAAATATTTTCTCACACTAATTTAAAAAAAATTGGAAGCTGTGATTTTAATCTCTATCTTGTGGCTTTATCTGTAGGTGTGCTGTTTTGTGTAGGTGGTCGAGGTGGATCTGGTGACCCCTTTCGAAGTATTGAGTGCTATTCCATCAACAAAAACAGTTGGTTCTTTGGACCAGAAATGAATAGCCGAAGGCGACATGTGGGTGTAATCTCTGTGGAAGGTGGGCCTACTATTGCCTAACATCACATCACAGGGTCACAGTATTCTTTTTAAAAATTTGTGAACTTTGAGAACTTCTTTCTTTTTGTCAGATATTTTTAATATATCAATAAAATATTTTGGTAGTGATTGTTTACTTTGTGTTCCAGATGCTCAGTATAAAATCTGTTGCATATAGGTGTATAATGTTGAGATGAGATGAATATCTGGGAAAAGGGAGATAATGAATTAAAATAAACTATCTGAGTTATATTTGCAAAAAATTAAACTAAGGAAAAATGTTTATTGAAGTAATTATAAATGTGTATCAGATTCTTTCCATAACTAATTATTATTACTGAAATCAGATTTTTTAACTCATACTGAAAATGAATTAATTGCATGGATAAATTGTTACAAACTTTTAAAAAGTAGTTTTCCCCCTGATTATATAGTATGAATACTTTTTGGGGAAAACATAAAAACATTTAATAAAAATTAATAATCATCCCAAGCACCTGTACATAACCAGTTAACATATTAGTATATGGTCTTTCCTTTTTTTCTGTGTTTCATTTAGGAAAAAAAATTGATCATATTGTTTTGGCAGTTTTATACTTTCTTTAAACAACATATTTAGAGTGCTTTTTAATTTTATTAAGCATTATTTGAGAGCATGACAGTGATTGCATTTACTAAACCCAAGAGGGTAGTGTTTGAGTGTTTAATAACTTCATAAAGAATAACATGTTTAGCGAAAGTATACATTGGTTTTCATTTGAGTACTGAAACATGATCATAATGATCATGATGTTGATGTGAACAGCAGTTGTTGAATATATATATTATGACATTCTAATTATATTGTTTATATAAAATAACATTAATATCTATTTATTTGGAATCAAATGAAAATACTTCTTTATTTGACAGGTAAAGTGTATGCAGTAGGTGGACATGATGGAAATGAACATTTAGGTAGCATGGAGATGTTTGATCCTCTCACTAATAAATGGATGATGAAGGCATCAATGCACACAAAGAGGTAGATCAGCATGGAAATTTCTTTTGAATTGATAGAAAATAAAGTTTCTAAAGTTGAAAGATCTATTTTAAATTTCTATTTTTACATACTTTACCTTCTTAAATACATTTTATTAAAGCATCCCAAGTGATGCTTTGTTATAACTTTTATATTTTTTAAGAATGAACTCACATTTTAGCATACTATAATCATGGTTTTCACTTATATCTGAACATTGCTTTTTTAAAAAAAATTTTTGTTAGAAATACTTTTAGATTTTTCAGAAAAGATGCAAAAATAGTAGAGTTTATATGTATCACTGTTTCTCACCTAAAAATAATTTTGCCCCTTCTATGCAACACTTGACAGTGTCTCCAGAGTTTGGGTTATTAGTTTGAGGGTGGGCAAGTTGCTACTAGCATCTAGTGGGAATAGGTCAGGGATGCTGCTAACAGTCCTACAAATGTTCAGTAGTCCCCTGTAGCAAAGAATTTTCTAGCTCCAAATGCTAGTAGTGCCAAAGTTAGAGGATACACCTTACTGTATTCCCTTCACCAAACTTTCCATAATGTTAACATCTTACACAACCACAATATGATTGAAATTAACATTGATACAGTGCTATTAATTAATCTACAGACTCTATTCAGCTTTTGCCAACTTTGTCCACACCTGATTAAACTTCTAATTGATTTTCCTTGTCATTTTATTTGCTGATAATTCAACAAATATGAATAGAAACAGACAGTAGGTATTTTTTATCTTGTTCCTTATCTTACTGGAAATGTCTTAGTGTTTCTCTTTGTAAAATAAGATGCTGACTTTAAAACTAAGGCACATATATTTTGTCATGTTAATAAGATATCCCCCAGTGTATGTTTTCTTTACTGATTTTTAACATGAGATTTAATATTTTAAATTCTCACCTACAATAAATTAAAATATATTAAGTAGTCTAAAGGTATATGATTTAGTACTCTAGCCTGTTCAACCTTTGGATGGGAGTAGATAAACATATATATATGCTTATATTTATAATATAAATTTATATAAAATACATTTAATTAGTAGGTAAGTGATAGATTTCTGTTTTCAGAGATTCTCTACATATAAAAGGGAGAAGGGTTATGAGAATGCCTAATGTAAAAAGAGTCTGACAGATTAAAAAAGAGTTATTGTAACAGTTTAGTCAAGAAATAATGGTAGTTTGGAATAAAGTGATAAAAATTGAAACAGAAAAAAGGATGCTTGAGAAAGAATAGTTCAAAAGTATACAGTCAACAAACTTTATGACAATTAGATATGGCAGTGGGAAAAACAGGTAAAAATAATTCAGTTTCTGACTTAAGCAATTACATAGACAGTGGTGCTATTTTTAGTATTTAATTTAATTTTATTTTATTTTTGTACTGGGGATCAAACCCAGTGGCACTCAACCACTAAGTCACTTCCCCAGCCCTTTTTTTGTATTTTATTAAGAGATAGGGTCTCACTAAGTTGCTGAGGCTGGCTTTGAATTTGTGATCCTCCTGCTTCAGACTCCAGAGCCACTAGGATTACAGGCAGTAGTGCTACTTCTGACTGGATTAAGCAAGTTAGTCAACCACATAAAATTTTTGTTTGTCTTTTCATGGAGTTATGTTAGTTTTCTGTTGCCATATAACAAATTACTACAAAATTAGCTTTAAATAACATCCATTTATTAGCTCATAGTTCAGAAGTCCTGCAGGTTTGCTTGGGCTTTTAGAAGACCAAACCAATGTGTTGGTGGGGCTAGACTTTTATCTGGAGTCTCAAGTGAAAGAAGCTTCTTCCAAGGTTATTCAGTTTATTGATAGAATTTGACTTCTGGTAGTTATAGGACTGAACTACTTATTTTTACTGGCAGTTGGCCAGGGTGAGGAGATCTTTCCCACATGTTCCCCTGTATCTTCAGTAAAGCATCAGCATGCTGACCCCACATTGTTCCTTGAGTTTCTGACTACAAACTGGAGGATCTCTCTGCTTTAAAGGGCTTGTATAATCACAAGACTAGGCCCACTCTGGCAATATTCCTTTTGCCATATAATGTAGCATAATCACTGGGTAACACCAGGAACTGAAGATCATGGGGGAGCATCTTGAAATTCTGCCTCCAGCAGGGAGATGGACAGTGGGTTTCATTTCAGATTAAAGTTAAGGTTGAAGAGCCAAAAAGACAGATGTGAGGTTTAAAGTGAAAATATGTCTGAATGTATATTGAGTCATCTAACATAATCCATGGAAAGAATGAGATTGCTGAGGAAAGGTAGTATAGGGTGCTATGAGGGCTTGGAACCAGAGCCTTAGGGAACTTTCTAACTTAATGATGGACTTTGTAACTTAATAATGTAAACATGCACATGTTCATACAGATATGCAGTATTTTGTAAGTCACAGCATTATACCTCAGTGGAAAGAAGCAAAGGAGACTAAAAATGAATGAGATAACATTATCCTTAATAATTCTTTCCTAGGGATACTCTTTGGTAAACGTAGAGTTAGAATCTGGAGTAGCCACTTTGGTGCGGATTGAGCATTGTGTTCTGAAAGTTTGAAATTAAATATGCTCTAAAATCTGAGACTTTTAAAGCAGCACTCAAAAAGTCTTTAATTTTGAGGTATATTTTATTTTTAATTTTCATATTAGGGATGTTACACCTGTAAAGTCTATGTTGATATTCCAAAAGCTGATATACTTCTGGTCTCACAAATTTCAGATGAGGGGTGTTCAACCTGTATTAATACAGAGCACTAAAAATGGGCCAGGCAGTATTCTAAGTGCTTTACCTATATTAATTCATTAATAACAGATGTGTCTCAGATAAAGAAGCAAGATAATTGAGGTTTATGAAATTCTCTACTGTTGGGGATGTAGCTCAGAGTTAGAGTACATGCCTAGCATCTGCAAGGCCCTAGGTTCAATTCCCAGTCCTGCAAATAAATAAATTACAACACTACTTTATTTTCAGCTTTAGTGACAGATAATAGTTTTAGAATATTCCAATTTTTTATTGGTACGGTGTATTAAGAAATTGAAGCTTGGCATGGTGGCTCAGGCTTATAAGACCAACAGATCAGGTGGCTAAGGCAGGATGATCAGAAATTTCAGGCCAGCCTCATGAACTTAGTGAGACCCTGTCTCAAAGTAATATTTCTTAAAAAGGGAACTTGGCATATAGTTCAGTGATAAGGTGCTTACCTATCATGTTCATCTCTGGATTCAATCTCCAGTATAGCAAAAAGGAAATAACATTTTTCTGATCATGATTATAATAAATTAGTCTTAAAAGGAGCTGAGTCTCTTCCTTCCCATAAATGAATGAATGAATGAATGAATGCTCTTAAAAAAATAAAGCATTGTGCCAGGCATAGTAACACATGCCTTTAATCCCAGTGACTGGGAGGCTGAGGCAGGAGAATCATAATTTTGAGGTCAGCCTGGAAAATTTAGTGAAACCCTGTCTCAAAAAAGGCTAGGGAATGTGGCTCAGTGGTGGAGTGCCCCTGGGTTCAGTCCCTAGTACTGCAAAAAATAAAATAAGTAGATAGAGCATTGTGACATAAAACTTGTAATATAAAAAATGAATATTATTTTGTGTGATGGTGTGATGATACTCTGTAATAAAATGAGCTCTGTAATAACATGGATGCAGAAATGAGAATTTGGTTTTTGATCTCCATAGCAAACTCTGTCATCCCATTAGCCCCTCAATTTTACAATTGTAAGTTTTACTAAAAAATTGATTATTTTGGACTCTTTTTATACTATTTTGTTGGGTTTTACTTCATTATTTGATATGAGTTTAAAGTAGCCTATGTAGGCTACACATTCTTGGAGTTGCACTCTGGAGCTATCTGTTTAGAAGCTTTGATAAATCAAAATAATGGAAACAACCATACTTTTGATAAATGACTTGCATTAGCACATTTTTTTTTTGCTATTTTGTTTTCCTGGAAACAACCCAGATGCCAAGGTATATTTTATTGCTTTTGCAGGCGAGGAATTGCCTTAGCTTCCTTAGGAGGACCAATTTATGCAATTGGAGGATTAGATGACAATACATGCTTCAATGATGTGGAGAGATATGACATAGAATCTGATCAGTGGAGTACAGTGGCACCAATGAACACTCCCCGTGGAGGAGTTGGCTCTGTGGCTCTAATAGTAAGTTAATGTGGCAACTTGCCCATTGAATTGCATTGAATCACATCCATAATCAAATAAAGAAAGGTCTGATACAGTCATATCACTAGTACACAGTTATTGATTTTATGCCATATTATTTTATGAAATACTTCTTTCTTGCACATTGTGTTCTGCTATAGGACCATATGTAAATCAATTCAAATCTAATGTCATATGTTATATTTGTTTTTCTCCATTTAGAACTATGTTTATGCTGTAGGAGGCAATGATGGAGTGGCTTCTTTATCTAGTGTAGAGAGATATGATCCACATCTGGATAAGTGGATAGAAGTTAAAGAAATGGGTCAACGAAGAGCAGGCAATGGAGTTAGTGAGCTTCATGGTTGCTTATATGTTGTTGGTGAGTGGATTGTATTTCTCTAAATGTAGCAGGATATACAACAACAAATATCATGAAATAATGCAGTAACAAATTATATTTAACCTTTAGAATCAGTCCTGAGATGTGTTTTTGAATTCTTAAGTTTCATATTCATGTTTTTTTATGTAAATCTTCATCTTTCACATTTAAAACTTCTTTTTCTAGTAATAGAAATATACCTAAACTAGGGGATTATATGTAGATATATATACTTCTAAGGCTTGTTTTTCTCTATTGCATTTCAAAGGAAATTATGTTGAAACTTTTAAGTAAACATATAGATATGTCATGAATAACAGCTGTGCAATGTTTTGTTTTGCTTTTTGACTTACTAAAACACTGAATTGGAAGAATATCAGTGCAGTACTTTTTTAAACCCTCCTATGCCAGGCACAGTAGCATACACCTGTAATCCCAGTGGCTCTGGAGGCTAAAGCAAGAGGATCATGAGTTCTAAGCCAGCTTTAGCAAAAGTGAGGCTCTAAGCAACTCAGTTAGACCTTATCTCTAAATAAAAACAAAATGGGACTGGGTATGTGGCTCAGTGATCAAGTGCCCCTGAGTTCAATCCCCTGTATCTGTCCCCATCCCCCATCCCCCCCAAAAAAAAACTTACTATGCATTCAAGTAATCTGGAAATGAGGGGTCCTATAGTTTCTGTATTTCTGACAGCTCCCAAATGAAGGTCAGCTTCATTCACATTCAGTAGCAAGGCTTTAAATGATTATGAAATGGAAATAATAATGCCCATCTTTCAGAATTATTTTAATTATTAAAGGTAATATATGTTTTATTCTAAGAATTAGAGGCAATGTATGTTAAGTATCTCAAACTGTCTGGCACTTTGTAATTACCAACAAATGAGTAGTTGTGTTGTGATTAGTAATCCCTTCCTTTACAGATGAGGAAATGAGTTCAGAGTTTATCACTAGCATATGTCACACTTAACTGTGTGCATTGTTTGTATTATGTAATTTATAGTGTTGTTTTCTTTCCTTTTTTAAAAATGGGGTTTCACTGTCTGTTGCCCAGGCTAACAGTGAGAATTTACAATCCGTGTACCTCAGCCTCCCAAATTGGTAGGGTTATAGGCACAGACTATTGAACCCAGTATAACTTATAGTTCTTAATAAAAGAATGGAATATTCTTAATGTTTAAATATATGCAAATAGACATTATACTGACTCTTTAATTGCTCATATGTGTTCAAGAAACAGGAAATAGCACAATTTACCTTTAGATCTCACCTGATTATCACAGGGGCTCTATAAGGAAGTCAGAGACTAACACAGTGACGAATTTAAAGTCACATGGCTAAACAAGAGATGAAATTTGAACTTGGTTCTGTTTGAATCTGAAATTCTTGCACTGTTGCCACCATCCTCAGCTCCCTGTTTCCCTAGATATTGGTACATTACACATCAACAGGATTTTGTCATGTTTACTTACTGAATCTTCTGGGCCTTTATAGTTAGAATAGACATGGTAAACATTTAAGAATTACTCAGGTTGGACATTAAAAAAACCCTTATTGATCACTTATGTCCTATTTATCATGCTGCTTTGTCTCTTCTTCTGCTCTACATTATTTTTACTTTTTTTTTTTTTTTTTTTTTGGCATTGCTGGGGCTCAAACCCAGAGCCTTGTGCATTTTAGGCCTGTGCTCTACCACTGAGCTATATCTCCAGCCCTGCCTTGAATTTTTTTTTAATATTTATTTTTCAGTTGTAGTTGGACACAATACCTTTATTTTATTTATTTTTACACTGTGCTAAGGATTGAACCCGGGGCCTCACATGTGCTAGGTGAGTACTCTACCGCTGAGCCATAACCCCAGCCCGAATTTTTTATTATTATCAATTTATGTACATAATCTAGAGAAATGATATGCAATCAGTGAAAGAAGGCTATGGAAAACATAACTATTAAAAACTTTTTTTATGTTAACATGAGCAATAATTAAAACTAAATGATTACAGTGAAAATTTTATAGTGATATTATTATACGTTGATCAAAGTCAGATCACTCTCAAAAACTGGAAGATTTTATTTCAATTCAGTTGATTTAATAAAACCCATTAGAGAAGAGCACTTCATTTTTTTCTTTTTCCTTTTTAAACTGACTTTGTTTATGAAGATAATATCAACACTCCTGTTCTCAGGAAAGTAGGTGGAATCACCAAAGAGAGAGATTATTCATTTAGATTTAGAGGAAGCCAAAAAAAATAGAACACTGTTAAAATAATAGTCTGTATTTAACCCTCAGAAATATATTAACACATTGTTAAACTGATCTATAGAAAAAAAAGTCATCATTTGGAATATATAGGAGGAAGATGTGGTTTTGACAAAAATTGGTGAGAATTCGTAGTCTACCATCTAATTGTGCTGGCAATAATAGTATGTAGGAGAACAACTGAAAAACTTCAGCTTATATCTGGATTAACCATATGACCTAATGTAGTTTATTTCTTCTCAAGCCTTCTTACTGTTTTAAAAATATAATAAACAGAGAAAGAATCTTAGTCTTGCCTGCTTCAAGAAAGCTCAGGACAAGTTATATGAATGATTACTTTTTTTCTTGATTTCCAAATTGCTTAAATAAGGGGACTCCAATTTTACCCACTTTTAGATTTTTAATTCTAGTATTGAGGTGAAAATACTAATTAAATTATTATAAGTTGAATTGTAGAAAATGTCTAGTAATAGTTTTTGGTGGTAAATGGGTATTGGGATAAATTTTTCTCTAGTTTTCTTTAAACTATTCTATATAGTTTTAAAAGATTGGGCTATAGAAGCTATTGAATTAAGATTTAGTAGTTAATTTCTATGAATGGTAATGCTATTTTAAAATATTTTTTATGTAGGTGGTTTTGATGATAATTCTCCTTTGAGTTCAGTTGAGCGATATGACCCTCGAAGCAACAAGTGGGATTATGTGGCAGCACTTACTACTCCCAGGGGTGGAGTGGGGATCGCAACAGTGATGGGAAAAATCTTTGCAGTCGGTGGTCATAATGGCAATGCATACTTAAATACAGTAGAAGCATTTGATCCAGTGCTGAATAGGTAATTTACATTTTTTTCTCAATGGTATAGTCCAATAACAGATGACTCCCGAGTGTTATAACACTGTAGTGTTATAACAATGTGTATGGTTTCAAGTTAAACTTTCTTCCTTCCCTACTCCATTTATAGTGTAGTCCTTCCTCAAAACATGGGTAATGTTCCAGATGGGTGCCTACAACCACAGATACGACCAAACTATATATGTATTGTTTTCTCCTAAACATATCATGATAGTTTAATTTATAAACTAGGCACAGAAAATACAAACAATAACTAATAATAATAATAATAGAACAGTTTTAACAGTGTTCTATAATAAAATTGCCAGCACCACTGTTTTTGTACTTTGGGACCATTATTAAGTAAATGAAGGTTACTTAAATACAAGCACTTTGATATCACCACATTTAATTTTAATCTGATAACTGAGGTAGCTACTAAGTGACTAATGGATAGGTAATGTCTATAGAGGATGTGCTGGACAAAGGGCTGATGCATGACCCAGTTAGGACAGAGTGGGACCATGTAAGATTCATCATATAGTCAAAACATGTCCAATTTAAAACTTGTGAATTGTTTAATTCTGGAACTTTCCATTTAATATTTTCAGACTGTGGTTGACTGTAGGTAACCATAGTGGAAAGTAAAACTTCACATAAGGGGAGACTTACTTTCCTGCTAGGTATAGTTGTTAACACAAAACTTTGAGATATCTTATCACCCTCTGGAAGCTTGCTATCTTTTAAAATCAGTTCCACAATAGGAAGTTTTTGTTGTGGTGGTGGTGGTGGTACTGGAGACTGAACCCAGGGCTTTGTACATGCAAGGCAAGCACTCTACCAACTGAGCTATATCCCCAGCCCATAGGAAGTTTTTGTCTTTGGTATTTTGAACAAAGAAAATTATACTTTGTTTCAATATAACATTCTTTCTCTGTCTTTTCAGGTGGGAACTTGTTGGATCTGTGTCTCACTGCCGAGCTGGAGCAGGAGTAGCTGTGTGTGCCTGTTTAACTAGCCAAATTCGAGATGTGGGTCATGGATCCAGTAATGTGGTTGACTGTATGTGATTTGAGTTCTAGCCACCAACAATATATTCATAAACCTTGATAGGCAAGAAAGACAACTAAGATTTTGATAATGATCCCCTTTGAATTTTAACTATATCCAAAGTCTTATTTAAAGGTTAAATGTTATATTATGAATAAATGCAACTTTTGGAATTATAGCTAAAGAATTATTAATTATAAAGTTAAATTTCATACTTTCTACTTTAGCAAATGGAGGAGGGAAGGAAGACAGTTTAATTTGAAACCATATCTACTTTGGAAAATGTTTAAAGTAGCACCAAACCCTTGAAATCTTCGTTGGGATGATTCAAAATTTAATTTGTTGAGTTTTACCGTTCCTATTGCTTAAAGGTATTAACCTTTGGTACTGTGAATTTTTCTGCTCATCAACACAATATGAAACCTGCTCCTCCTAGAGATCACTTCTACTTGGTGCTGATCAGTTTATGTCTTGCTTTTTTTTCTTTCTAGATGTTGATTTTTAAAATTTCTTGGGTATTTACAAAAAGTAGAAAATGTTTTTGTATTTTTAAATACCACTTGGCTCTATTCTTGAAAGCTCTGAGAATACTGTATAAAAAAAACCTTGATTTCAGTTTGATTGCTAGAACGCCAAAAGACTTAACTGTTTTAATTCCATCTGAAGGAGCTTACAATTTTGTTTTTATTTTGTTTTGTTCTCCCATCTCATGCAAAAGTGAAGCAGAGGAACTATTTGAGAAGATTTTAGATCAATATTATTCTAGTGCCCAGTTGAAGACCTTGAAGAGTGGTGTAGATTATATAACTTCTCAGTAAGGAATCTGAAAATATCTTTAACTTTCTTCTTTGATTTCATTTTGAACCCAGGATTTATTATCTTCCTATTTTGTTATTTGCAGCTTTCCTGGTTTTTCTAATTGTACAGATCTGAATTTATTTATTTTCAAAAAACAAATACTTTTTTTTTTTTTTTTACAAAAATCCTTTTTAAATTTAGTTTGGCTGATTATGTAAGTTCATCATTAACCAATAAAACATGATGTTGATAAAAAAAGAAAACTTGCAACTATTGTTTTTCTCATTATGTTTGATACCTCCAGTGTATTTATTAAAATTTAGTTGACAATATTTCTATAAATTAATTTGAAGCCTGGATATTGATAAACCTGATATCACAGCTCTTCATTGTTTTAACTAGCATTATAAAATGACCTGTTTATTATATGTACATATTTTTATAAATATTTATTAAGAACATTAAAATATCCTGTTTTATATTTGCAGTATAGTTTGTCACCTTTCTTCTAGCTGTTTTTAAATTGTTTTTGTCATTCCTTAGGATTTATTATGGTTCACTGCTGGGAAGTTATTTGATTTATAAGGAAGCTGAAACATTAAGAGATATTTTCTCCATCCATTCAGCCCTTATCAAATGGGATCCTGGACTTGTCAGTATAGTAGAACAGAATGACATATACCAAAAGCCAATGCCTGTTGAACATATCAAACCTTAAAAAAAAAAAAAAAGGCAGCTTAAGCTGGAGATAAGCATCTTTGATGAAGCAAGTTAAAAAGTTCCCAAATGACTTTTTTTCTACTTTCAGCCTATGGACAAGTTCTTAAGTTATTGGCTGAATCTGAACTAGTGTTCTTTAGTATAACTATTTTAGCCAGTCCCCAAAGCATTTAACTCTAGAGCATTTATTGGACCGGCTACAACTGAGTGGATGTGATGATTAAATTTCAAAACCTGGCTTCAAGTATCTATTTCTCATGTCTGATGGAGTTTTTTGTATTATGATGCTTGTCTAGCTATGCTTACTCTATGTATATTTGTTTTCTGTGCTGAGGATCTTATTGTTTCCTATGATTATTTTTTTAAATCATTTTCCTTAACGTATCTCTGTTTCTATTATGCGTATGGAATTTGGATGTTACATTTCCATTTCTGATTTTTATTATACAATGGTCATCTAATCAACAAAGTTGTTACTCTAGTTACCCATAAAATAGGATAGACTCCTAATTAAAGTGAAATAAAGGGAAAATGTGACTTTTTGTTACATTATATACCAGAAGTCAGAAGCATAGCCTTGAAGGACCTGACAACAATAGGAAAAGATAAATAACAGTCAGTATGCAGTGTTTGTTGAATAAAAGTACATTCTTTAAGATATGGAATGATTTAAAAATAAAAGCAATTAAAATTAAATTAAATTAAATTAAAATTTAAAAATATAAGGAATGAGAATCAGGCTGAAAGAATGGTGCAGCTGAAAGATTATATTCATAAGAATGAAGAAATGGAAGAAGATGACTACTTGAGTATTTGTGAAGCATGTCACTTTAACCTCGGATGTTAAGGTTGTTGCTGTGCTGGAGTATTATAACACTAACTTATAAATGTTTTTAAGAAATTACTACAGGGAAATTTATCACTACTTCTGATTTTGCATGAAGGGGAAAAACATAGCCATTTACGTCCCAATAATTTTTTTCAAAGTCTACTAAAGTCTAATATGAAAAATTATAGAAATGTTTGTAACTAATAAAACATGAATTCGATTCTAAATGCATTTTCTCTTTATCATACAAATCACAGGAAAAAAGCAACAAAGTTCTCAAATTTACTATTTATTAACATAGTTGATATAATTTCAACAATCTCTTATCTGGACACTAACAGAATTATAAGTTTAGTAAAATTTGGGAATAAAGAGAATGAGTAATACTCATTAGAGGGAGTACATAGGTTTTTCAGATACTTTGCAAATAATTAGTTGTACAAGAACATATGAAATTAGTCCAAAATGATGTCAAATAATTTTGTTTATAAAGTGCTTCAAATTGTTTTTGTTTTAAAGTGCAATATAGGGTAAATCACTACCTGTTGAAATTATAATACTCCAGCACAGCAACATAATAATCATATGTATTACCAAGTACCTATACTAGGTTCAAATCAGTGCAGTTTATTAATTCAAAACATATTGCATCTATATGTTAATAGGAACTTCTTTCTACAAAGGTCTGTGTAGTTTTCTCGTTATTTGCTGTTATGGAATCCTATCAAAACTATGTAATTGTTTATTGTCCATCCCTCAAATTCAAAATTGATTTAGTGGGTTGATTGTAATATTTTTGTCTTTATATAATAGATTTTTATTTAATTGAAAGTTTTTTGTGACCTTTACAAAAATTAAAGGTTAAAGGCAACTAATGTAAGCTGTTTCACTATTTTTTTAAAAATATTTTTTAGATGTTGATGGACTTTTATTTTATTCACTTATTTATATGTGGTACTTAGAATCGAACCCAGTGTCTCAAACATGTGAGGCAAGCACTCTACTACTGAGCCACAACTCCAGCCCCTCACAATTCTTAAAATATTTTTTTAGTTGTTTATAGACCTTTATTTTATTTATTTATACGCAGTGCTAAGAATTGAACCCAGTGCCTCATACATGCCAGGCAGGTGCGCTACTGCTGAGCCTCAGCTCCAGCCCTTGTTTTTCTATTCTTAAGCAATTGCCTCTTCAGACTTGTACTGAACAGAAATGATACTATCTATATGCATTAAGATGAATGTTTGTCCTTCCAAGTAGTAACCTCTGAAGCTCTGACGTTTTAAGTAATGTTGCCATTGCTAAAAACTTTTCTGAAACTTGTCTTTGAAAATAGCTATTTGTAAGCCATTCAGGAGAATTAGTCTCATCATAAATTTAATGTTGACCAGAATCTTAACTTGATTATGGACCTGTGTAATTTCTTCATTAGACAAGACTCCAAAAGTATTTTGTGACTATTTCCATAAGTGAAATCTACCGTCAGTGAAAAGTTTTCCTCTGCTGGCAAAATATTTTCAAAAGTAAACAGCCCAGTGAAAGATTTTTGAGACCATCCTGAGCAATGGTAACACCAGTGAAAGGAGTATATAGTAACCTCTTTGAAGGGCAATTTTATTTGAATGTAAAAATTCTGGGGTTTTTGTTTTTAATTTTTTTAAGGTTTCACTTGATAACTAAGCTTATCTACTACTGCAGAGCATAGAACACAGAAAAATAATATTCCCAATAAAACACATCCAGTTGTTTAGACAGTGTGACATTTTCAGCTTGACATGGTAAGATGATCATAACCTTGACATAGCATAAATATCTGCCATCTCATGTAAAAATTCCTTACATTTTCCTCCAATGTCTCTTTGGATCTGTACTTGATTTTATTACCAGTTTTTATCTGAATCTATTGGGGAGTGGGATTCTTTTGCTTTGGTTTATTTTGGTGCTGGATTGAACCTAAGGCCTTGCATATGTTAATAGGCATAGGTGCTACCATGAAGCTACATCCCAACCCCAAGAGTTCGTTTTTTTTTTTTTTTTTAGTTTTAGGTGGACACAACATCTTTCTTTGTATGTGGTGCTGAGGATCGAACCCAGGCCGCATGCATGCCAGGCGAGTGCGCTACCGCTTGAGCCACATCCCCAGCCCCAAAGAGTTCTTAATTTCAGTAAAAGTGGGGAGTTTTGAGTTTTGTGGGGGTTTTTTGCCTTTTTTTTTTTTTTTTGGTACCAGGTATTGATCCCAGGGGAACTTAACCACTGAGCCATGTCCTTAACCCTATTTTATATTTTATTAGAGACAGGGTGTCACTCAGTTGCTTAGCCCCTTGCTAAATTGCTGAGGCTGGCTTTGAACTCAAGATCCTCCTGCCTCTGCCTCCGGAGCTGCTGAGATTACATGAACGTGTTTTGATTGTTATTCCAGTTTGTTTTGTGAAATACCCCTTATCTTTTGGTCCATTTTTTTTCTTTATTTACTTAAAGAGTTCTTTGTAATATTCAGAACATTAATCTTTTTGTCAAATTTTTTTGTAGTTATACATCTATTCTCCCATTTGTGGCTTATCTTTTCACTTTTTTTGGTAAACAAAACAATTTTAATATTTTTAAATGTTTGTTCTATGCCTTAAGAAATTTTCCCTGTCCCACGGTGATAGTTTTCTAAAAATCAACAGTGTCTAACAGGATCAGGGATGTAGCTCAGTAGTAGAGCATTCATGAGGCCCTTGACTAGATCTCAGCACTGAAGAAAGAAAAGAAAAATATAAGTCTCAGGTCTTTATTCTACCTGGAATCAATTTGTGTATGTGTGAAATGATAAAATCACTCATCTTTTACTATGTAGATAACTAGTGTTTCTCTGCATCATTTATTAACTAATCCATCATTTCCTCAGAAACTCTAGTTACATGCAAATTTTCATGGAAGTGTCTCTTTGGGGACTTCCTGTTCTATTCTGCAGGTCATTTTGCCTACCTAAAAATCATATAGCATATTATTTAATTGTTATGATTGGTTATATGTCTTCATACCTGGTAGAGCAAGTTGCTTCTTTTTTTCTTAAGGAGTGTTTTTTGCCTTTTGTTGTTTTATTAAACATGAAACTCAGTTTGTCAAATTCTTTGGGGACAAAAACAGCTCCAAGAGATAGTTTTATTTTTTTCTTTCTTCACTTCCCCTCTTCTCTTTCATCACATTTAATCTGTAGTACGGAGTAGTAACAGTTCTACAATATTGAATATTCTTGTCTTCTTTTTTCAATTTATTTTTAAATTCTTTTTAGATATACATATTTTAAATTCTTTTTAGATATAGTAAAGTATATTTTGACACACAAACACTGTGCATAACTTATTCTAATTAGGGTTAGAATCTTCTAGTCTTTATCAGGGCAGGGAGGTTTGAGTTTGCTAAGATTTTATTGTGCTTAATTTTATGAAACACTTTTTATTCTGCATTTTTCAGTGATGTATGATGAATTACATATAAAGATATTTGAATGTTGAGCAACTATGTTTATATTCTTGAGATAAAACCCAACTTGATTAATGATCAGTTTTTGAAATATACACCTGTATTTTGCTAATGCTTTGCCTTGGATTTT